TAAAGAAATTTTTTTTTTTCTTTTTTTGTACCAGGCTCCTTATGTGTTTTGACTTTTGTCAATTTTAAAATTTTATTTTTTGCATGACAAAAATTAAATTTAATCAATATTTACTTTACTTTTTTTTTTTTTTACATTTAAAAATAGAAATACGATGATGAAAAGAAATATCTTATTTTATAATTCTTAAAGTAAAACTACTACTCGGCATGTAAAAATTAAAAAATACTAAACGAGAATTAAATTTTTTTAAGCATACCAAGAGGCGTTTAGGTACCACTTTTCCAGCATAAACTTCTCCTGTCTCAACATCAGTAACTTCAAAGCATTTGGCAAAGCCACCCTGAAAATACATTTAAAAATTTGATGAATCTGCATGTAATTTCTTTAAATAAAAAAAAAGAAATTTAAATTTTTTCATTAAATGAAATAAAATTCATATAATTCATAAAAAATTAAATTTAGATTAAAAAGTACTAAAACAGATGTAAAAATGTAATATTTTTTAAGTATATTTAAAAAACTTAATAAAAACTAAATGAGAAATTTTAAAATAAACATGGCATTGCATGTTGTTTTTTGGTTTGGGCAATAAGAAATGACCTGCAATGACCTGTTAAAATATGCAAGCTTAAAATATTTTCATAAAATATAAAAAGTCGTAATTGTAGTAATAAAAATAATGCTACAAAAGACATTAAAGATCAATTTATAAAAAAAAATTAATATTAAAAAAAAAATAAAAAAATAAAAACACATTTTAGGGTGTGTATTAATACAAATACAAAATATAAAAAAATTAATTATAAATGCTTAATATTAAATTTAAATATTTTTATTGATTAATACTAATGTAATAATAAGAGTATTTATTATTGTACTATAAATAAAAAATATTGAATAATAAAATTAAATTTGTATGAGATGCATTTTTTTTTCAACGGCCTGTAACGGTCAAAATTATATGGCAGAGCGTCTCTTACCTTCCCAAAAAATGCGCCTTTCTTATAAACAATGTTTCGGTGTTCATCCCGAATAAAGTCAGGAATGTAATCTGCTGGTTCTTTATTTTTATTATTACTTTTAGACATTTTAAAAAACTTGTACACTAAACTATGGTCTTTCAATTATATTCAGCTTCCCCAGGTATTCTTCGAAAGTGAGTGTACAAGCCAAAACCGTTATGAGAAAACCAATAAAAACAGCAGTTAGTTAAAGTACGTTCAGAAATCCTTTAGTTTTTTTGTCGGTAAAATAATTTCAGTTGGTTGTCTGATTATTGCTGACATTGCAATATGGGGTCCTAGTTCTTTCATATTCGAAGTTAGAAAGTGAAATATTTATTTTAAGTATTTGTTTAATGTAATAAAATTTATAATAGAAAATGGTTTCACTCCGAGATAAGCAAATAGGTTGGAGCAAATTATTAAAATTATTTTTTATTTTATTTGTATTATCGTTTTATTTTTATTTTTTTTTGGATAGAGAAACTTACAACTGTTATCAATACCTAACTTTAAGGGTTAAAATATTTTATTTTTTTTTCAGCTGCTTTGAAGCAGATGTTAAATTTAAATCAAGCCCAATCTAAAGCCAAAATAACGGAACCTGTTTGGAAAATTTTAATCTATGACAAATATGGTCAAGATATTATTTCTCCCCTAATATCTGTCAAAGAGCTTAGAGAACTTGGAGTTACTTTACACATGTATGTGAATTTATATTTTGAAATTGACTGTGGAAAAATTATTAGTTGCACAATGTTTTTAAAGTAGTAACTTATGGTATTACACAATTCATTAATTTAAAAAAAAAAATAACTATGGTAAACATTAATTTTAGGCAGTTACACACTGATAGAGAAGCCATTCCTGATGTTCCAGCAGTTTATTTTGTTCTTCCTACAGAAGAAAATTTAAATCG